GCCACACAGGCATCATCAACACCTTACCACACATACAGGACACTTCTCCCTTTCACACAGGTTTATATACACTGAGTAAGTCATTAAATATTGCACTTATTGGCCCATGATTCCTCAGTTTTGAGGTATTCAAAAAATAGAAAACATCTATTTTTATAACATATTTTCATGCAACATTTAAGACATTTCAGTTTCAACAACAGTACAAACACGAGTATATAGGTTACACGTTCTGACAGTTCAACTGAGCCACGACACTTCTGACATTACTCACAAAATATTAAACAGGAGTTACACACAAACAGTTCATTTAACACTAGTTGCAGGTACATGTCAGAGTTACTCAAGTAAAGTTATCGCCAGAAGTGGTACGCAATCCCCAGCTTTCATTAATGCATGTTATGCGTGAGCCTGAAGTTACTGCTCTTCTGCTTCTCCTTCATTGAATCAAATACCAGGTACCTTATTCTATAAATGACTAGCCACCTGCAGGTGCTGGAGCCATGGAAAATAAACATATGGTCTACAGATGTAATCCCATGGATTTCTGGTGTTAATGAGTTCTGGATGTTTACTGTGGCATTTATGGAAAGCTGCACTTACTGAGACAAGTAGCAGTAGGAACTGAGTAAGTGTCAAAGACATACTGCTGCATATGCATACTAAATGTGTGTAATTACAATTCTGACTCAGTGAATATCCATGGATAAACAAAGTAAAATAAAAGGAAGGAAAAATAAAATGAAAACAAAAAACAAATTTGTAAGGTGAACTGCATTCACCTCTTCTTAACAAAGAAACTGGTAAAAGTTGTTCTAATAATTGAACTGAGTTGTCTCTTTAAATGACACTAAACATATGATGAATCTTCGAGAATCTGAAGTCAGACTGTACTAAAAAGCCTATGTGTATGGATTAAACAGTGTAAATTAACAGAACTCACTTCTCTGTTGGCAGAAGTGAGATACTGCTTTACACTCCCTAAGTGCTGATCTATAAGTATTTACTACTCAGGGTCTCAAACTGCTATATCCGTCCTCCTAAGACTCACCTACTCACTGTCTAAGAAACAGGCCAAGGAGGAAACTGTCTTAACAGTTTTTCAGCAGGACAGTAATTTAGTTGATGCCCTTAAAAATACATGTAATAAAACTTGCCTCTCCCAAAGAAATATAGAAAAGAGTAGTTTGTGGGAGAGATTGGTTTTTTAGAATGCAAATGCAGCATCTTTCATCTGCTGTTACAGAGCAGAGGAATCATCACCAGATGTAAAATTTGTACCACCTTTTTTTCCCCTAAAATTGAAAATTCAACTCAAAGCATTCTCAAATACTGGGATCAAATTCCAGCAGAATTTGTGTATCATGACATACTTTGTTCCTGAAATAAAGAAGGTGCATGTGGTACAGCTGAATGTACAAAGCTGAGCAGACTGGGAAAAAAGTTTAATCTTTCAGACTGACGCTCTGGAAAGGCCACAGATATGTAGTTGCTCAGGTAGTTTCTCTAAGCATTGCATTAAGTAAAAGCACAGAGGAACAAACAGTTCCAGGTAACGGTCACGTACACAACTGTTCAGAGAGAATATTTTTTGACAGAAAATCCAGCTAGCTTATATGTATTTCAAACACCAAACCAACAGATCTAAATAAACAAACTACTGCAACAACAACAAAAATATACTAGTAAATTAGCTATGCTATAAAGACTAGAATGCTTGTGAACATGAATTCTTATCAAAATCAGAAAAGTATCTGAAGGTTAACTCAGCAAAGCTTGCTAGCTCTCTAGCTGGTTGGTGCTAGGAGGCACTGCAGAAGCCAACTGTATCTTGTGTTCCCATGTGATCCCAAGACATTTTCTGAGCACTAGTTTTTCATACAGCAATCAGTACAATATCAGAGTATGATAAGGCTTCTGTACTATCCATGCACAGAATTAGCTTGCTGCTAAAAGCATCAGTATAGATCATAACTTGGAAAATAGTTTGTGAAGTGACGGTTCTGCTGGCACTATGGAGCTCAGGAGTCTCTGACCAGAGGCATCTGAACTCTCAAAAATGCAATATGCTCTCTATGACAACTGTTGTATCTCATCAATTGGCCTAAATTTTGGTGAAAGAGGTCATTTGTGACTGGAATGTAGCTCCATGACAATCAATCTTATTTCTGTGCAGAGATAGACAACAAATTAGTGAAAAGTCTGTGAGTACTTCAAAAACTGTGAGGCTGTAAATAATTTTGGATATCTTGTCCCTAGGTTTTCAATTTAATGAACCAGACTTCTTGCATCACTAATATATTACTGATCCTTTCTCTTAGCAGAACTGTGTCAAATACTGCTTCTCCTCCAATGACTAACTCATAATCAGTGACTACTGGATAGAGATGAAGAATGATTCATTGGTTGTTTGAATTTTGATCCTTGATTAGTCTAGGATGGAACTTCCAAAATATTAAATAATAACATATCTCTTCTTGCATTTCAGAAAATTGCAGTTCTGTCTCAGAATCAGTTGTAATTGAATTACATTGACACATGCTTCAGTTGGAGACTCTTTACTATGTAACAGTGCAAAGCATAATTTCAAGTAAAATGAAAATTCTACTCCTGTTGGCTTCCATGGAACTCAAGCTAAATTTTCATCATGCTTGAGGAAGGAATAGTAAGTTACTTCCAAGAAGCCCTTCTGTCTTTCATATTTCTCTGCAACAGCCAGGTTTCACCCTAAGAAGGTGAAGTATCGAGAGCTCATGATGCTTGTCATCTGAATCTGACCAAAATTTATAGCAGAAAACTCAATAGTGCTGAAACATGGCTTCAAAAACCAACCTATTCCACTGGTTGGAAAATCAAAACTTGTTTTTCCAACAGTAGGTAAACCTGACTGTTGAGAAAAGTTCTGCTTGAACATCCAGAACTGTCAAATTTCAGAGGAAGGGAGGGTATGATAAATCTGGTTGGATGGGACATAAGCAGGTCCTAGCCCAGCCTCCTCAAAGCAGTGTCAGCTGAGAAGTCAAAGCAGATCGCTCAGGATTTTATCTAGTTTTGTCTTGAAAGCCTCCAAGGATTTGATGTGAACACATTAAAAGTTAATCTGAATAATTCTGAATTCTATGGCAACGTCAATACAAAGAACCTAGGAGTTCTTACTAGTCATTAGGCCCTGCATTTCTGCTTCAGGTGAGCCCTTTCTCGTAACATGTGGCAGTCAGTCAGTGTTACTCTGGCAGCTGCTTCCCCCAACCTCCCCATCCTATACAGAAGATCAAGTATGTCAGAGGCTAGAGGTTTTACTTGTCACAGAGCAAAGGTGAATATTTGCACTTGTAGCAGTGCTGCATGATCCAGAACATGCCCAAGCTCTTTTGTGTTGATATTCTCCATTCACTTTACCTCGCCTGAGGATGTAATGTCTCAGGCATATAATACAACTTAAAGCTTTTCTAAGTAAATGAGGGCTGCTGTTGATTGCTGTCTCAAGGATGTTCTGCTCACTTTTCTCCAGTATATATAAATGAACATAACAAGGAAGGAAACTGGCCACCACCTCATGTAAAGCACCCTTGGTGTCCTATCACTTCTTTTATCTAAGCAGCCAGTACCCAGTGGGTGAAAAGGTGTCACTGAAAGTTCCCCAGCACAGTTGCCAACATGCTGCCTTAGACATGGGAGAGAAAAGTACTGCTCTGTAGGAGGCTGGTTTAGGGTATGTGTAACATGTGCCTCTTCTGCCTGACTGCTCATCAGCTCCACAGAGGACAGTACTTTCTCTTAGTGAAATTCAGAAAGTAAAAGTTCAGCCTCTATGTCTACTAGGAAAATAGGTGTTTAAAGAAACTTGTTAAGAGGACGTAAGTTTTAAAATCCTAGAATGAAGAAAGATCATTTAAGTTAGGCAGCCAATGTTGCCCCCTGGTGGCTATTCCGTTTTGCGTGTGTCTCTATATGCCTTGCTTGAAAGTCGTTTTCACCATGTCGAAGTTAATATCAGTTATTTAACCAGTTAAAAAAAAAACAACAAAAAAACAACAAAAACAACAACAACAACAACAAAAAAAAAAAACCACAACACAAAACAAACAAAAAGAAAGAGAAAAAACAACCAAGTGCCCATTTTCCTCAGTGTCTTTCAGGAGTTTATATGAATAACCTTTGAAAACAGGAGTGTGTACAGAGGGATTTTCAGTACCTTCTGTTACTTTCATTTTCTAATTTGTCTTCCTATTTTTTTATTTTTATTTTTATTTTTATTTTTTTATTGCAGACAGTTAGGGAAACGTCAGTCTTGTCTTAAAGCCCGCTGCTAGGAACAATAAAACAGTTAATTCCACAATTATGCAGTTTAGCTTAAAAATGTCACTGTGACAGAAATAAAGGTGTTGCATGAAGCACTATGTACTGGACATAGATGTGCCATCAATTACCATTTTAAAACTTTAGAATATGACTATTTTTATTAAATTGATTGAAACAGAATTTGTTTGTTGTACTTTATTATGCCTTTTTGTGTGTGTGTCTGTGTACTTCACAGCTTTTCCTGATTTTAGAGATACATTCATTTTAACTTAGGAAATTATAACTATTTCTTATTATTCCTAAAGTTATTTTCAAAATATTGCCAATCTGTGATAGTCCTGATGAAAAATATTTCCTCATCAAAGAAAAAATGAGGTCAAACTAAAGCTCATTGACATCAGCAACACATCTACATTAGGTCTGAGTGAAATTAGTAACCAGTATGGTGATGGCTGTCCCAGCTTAAGCATGCAGGTTTGACAGCAATGTGACAAGACAGTTTTTGGCTATGAACAACTGATTGTGATGGATTTGGCTTTCCTAGGGGTAATATCTGAACAGTGTTCAATATCTAACACCGGTGGAAAGAAAAAAGAGCTGGTCAGACCTCTTCTGCTAGGGCAGAAACTACCAGGGTATCTGCATGTTGGAATGAGAAAATGAGTAAAGTTTCAAAAGGAGCTTAACAAACAAAAATGTAAGCATAGTAGCTGGTTAGCCAGGATGAAGTATCTAATATCTCTGAGAATCTGCACTGAACACCCATACCCATATCCAGTTGGAATCTCAAAGGAATGGCAGGTAGCTTGAGGTCCAGGAAGGCTGGAGGTCTGCTCCTTCTAACTTCTACAGTTTCCAAGCACATGATGTGTAACATACTGAGCCCAGACTTACTCAGGCAGTATGCTCAAGGAAGTGTTCCTTATAAATGATCTAGACAGAATGACTGATTGGCTCTTTAAAGTAATATTTCTAAATACATTTTTGGTCAGGAGAAAATATAAAATACCTTGGCCGCTGCCCTAAGTATTCAACTACAAAATTTGAAACCAATGATGCAAGTCACATGGCACTAGCTGAAGTAAGTATAATGAGAAACAGTAAAAAGAAAAGAGAAACTAATAGCCATCCTGCATGCAAGAGCCAGAAGCTAAAAAAGCGGATTACTCTTTCAAACTATTAATATCCCCATCTTCGTACATATACTCAACTAGATGCTAATGTAGAATAAAAGATTTTTCTCCCAAATAAATTACTAAGACAGTATAAATAAAGGCATATAGACCATTCATAAATACTCTGTTGGCAACAGAATGCGCTGGAGCTGCCTTTGCTGGTAGCCGCATTAACAGCCACAGTTGGGTTGCTGTGGTGGAGGGCTGTCCTTTAGTCGTGTGTTCTGCTTGCCAGCAGTGATGTTGGGATCTGTCTCCAGACTTTCGGACATTTTGTCACAGATGATATCCACAAGTCGCTCAAATGTCTGCTTGACATTAATGTTGTCCTTGGCACTTGTTTCAAAAAATTCAAAGCCTAAGAAAATAAACAACACGTGTATGTTTGATACATATTTGAGAATCTCCAAGCAGTGTACAGACTTCTCAGCACAGATGTGTGTGCGATAAACAGAAAGTAAATATGTGAGAGCACACACATAAATGAGTGATACTGCAAAAGCAGTTAAAATTATAACACAATCAGGGCAACTACATTAGTGTCATTTGCTTCATAACAAGTCAGATAAAATACAGACTAGATCAAATACATTCCCTTAAACAAATTATACTTTGAAACAGTTTCATATAAAAACTGACACCAATTTGAGAATCCTATTAAACTAGAAATGCCCTATATATTCAGCCATCGTGAAGGTATAATCTACTGCTGTATCTCTAGCTATTATGCTTCTCTGAGCATTATTCAGCTGGAAAAAGCCATTTGCATCATTTCATTAACCTCATGCCAAAATAGACAATTATATTTGGAAACAAGCAGGTAAAAAAGCAAACAAGGCAAGGAAAGCTTTCTGCAGTTTGTCTCCTTGTAGGTAAATCTGTGGGGAAAAATCTGTGTCCATGTCTGGAGCCCCCAGTACAAGAAAGATAGAGATATGTTGGAGAGGGTCCAGAGGAGAGCCACAAAGATGATCAGGGGATCAGGGGACTGGAGCACCTACACTGCAAAGACAGGCTGAGGGAGCTGGGCTTGTTCAGCCTGGAGAAGAGAAGGCTGTGGGGTGACCTATTGCAGCCTTTCAGTACCTAAAGGCAGCCTATAAACAGGAGGGGAGTCAACTCTTTGAAAGGGTTGATAACAGCAGGACAAGGGGAAATGGTTTTAAGTCGAGGGAGAGAAGATTTAGGTTGGATGTCAAGGGGAGGTTGCCTGCAGAGAGAGTGGTGAGGTGCTGGAACAGGCTGCCCAGAGATGTTGTGGATGGCCTGTCCCTGGTGGTGTTTAAATCCAGATTGGATGGGGCCCTGGACAGGCTGGTCTGGTATTAAATGGGGAGGTTGGTGGCCCTGCATGTGGCAGGGGGGTTGGAGATTCACGATCCTGGAGTTTACTTCCAACCCTGGCCATTCTGTGATTCTGTGATTCTGTGAAAAACTGGACCACCACATATAACCAATAAACAAACACTGTTTTTTCTTTTAATTCATTTATGGAGAAAGACTTTTTATCAGTCCATTCCCAATGATTACCTCAAAGGCAATGAGAACTACTGTTAATACAGGAGCCTATATGGAGCAGAACTAGCTTTCCTAAGCTCCCTTTTCTGCCCTGGTTTGTCCCATGTCTTATTTCCCATGTCTGTTCCCTGCCAGGTTTGCAATTTGCTGTTCTGCCTGCAATACAGGAAGTTTCTATCAATGTCAGGTCTTCTCTATTCTTTCTCTCCAATTCCTTTTTTCTGTTTGTTTGTTTTTTTGCTTGCTTATTAGTTTACTATGCCTCTTTCTTCCCCCTTGCGGACTATGTTACATATTTTTCTCATATTTGTCTCATTGCTGACTTGAGGGTTTCTTAGAAATTTAGAAGTTTCTACTTCTGTCTTTCCATTGCTCAAGGTTTCAGTAATAAGAGAGTTTACAATACATCTGTTCCACTAGTAATCTTACAGAAGTTACTTCATTTTTGTACATCTATTTTGATTCTTTTTAATCAATGCTGAAAAGCAGTGTGCCCCTACTGCTTAATGTTTAATCAGGAAATATCAGTCACTTCAACTCCTGAGAGAAATGCAAGAAACAGACTTATTATTTTTGTTGTGTCAAGCTAATCTTCTATTTCCAAAGGCTATTTGAAACTAAAATTGAACTGCTCAGATAGTATCTGAACAGGATATAATGCATATGTGCACAGTCCTATAATCGCTTGGCATGTAGTTTTTTGCATACCTAGAGATAAAGCAGGTAGTTATATCCAGCTTGGCATGATAACCCAGTATGTGCAAATAGCCAATACAAAAAGTTAACTCTGTGTTCTGAGCATTCTTCATATTTTTAATTTATGTTAAGTGCCTTGTGCTAAGAAGTCAGAAAGTTAAATTACTTAGATGTATAGGAGCTAAATGCAGGCCAATGTTGGTGCTCATAGGTAGTTTAAATAACAAACTCTTGCACATACAAACATCATAAAAGGATTTAGTCATGTAATGGTAATATCAGCAAGAAATATAATCTCACAAACATGAGCTTTTTTTCCAAGCATATTGGCTTGAAAAATTTTCTTTCCCAATTTCTCTTGAATGCAGGAAAATTGTGATAAAAGACCAGTTATGGAAATCATATACTGGGAGGTGATTTTAATCTAAGTCTCAAACCAATTGTTTGGTTGCTATAGATTAGCAACCTTCTTCTAATGTAGAAGAAAAATGTGGAAAGCCAGTGTAGCCTTATTTGCTGATGGCTTCAGTGCTTCTATGGCGTTCCATGCAGGAGAAAATTGTTCAGATCTATTGGGAGCTGCTTGGTGAAAAGGAGGTCTTCCACATTTCCACTGCTCTGTGTCAAAACGTGGCTGTGGCTCTGTGATGGAACAGTGCAGTCAGATCTTCCCACAGCTGCTGCCATCTGCTGCACAGGAAGCAGGAGGAGAGTAGCTGTTCTTATGAGGTTTGATTTGATTTCAAAGATATATATGTGCTGCAATCCCAGAGGATGACTGCAGGCCATTATTTCACTCAGACTCTGAGAGCAACCTGACCTGTCTTGGTCAGGGAAGGTGCTTGCTGTGCTTGTGCAAGCTGAATCTGGACTATGGGCATAACTTCAATAAAATGGCATGAAATCTGGAGTCTTGAACCTTGGCTTCTGGGACCATCACATTGTATTTACAGTACAAATAAGCCGCAGCTGTGACAGAATATCATTATTGCTGCCAAGATAACAGCTCTCTCTCCTGATCATCAACCAGCTCCATCATATCCCATGGTCTCATGGGTAATGTGTCAGAATTTGTGCCCATTGCATGTTTCTCCTCTTTTCAAATAAATAGAAAGAGATGAAACTGAGAATGAAATGAAAAGAGGGGAAAAATGCCTTGTAATCTGTCTAACCCCCAGCAAGGGTGTTGCTTTGATATTTATTACATTCCCTGCCAGCTCCAACACCTTTCAAGCAGAAAAAAAACCTACACTTTACTATATGAGTAACAGTGATCTGACGTGTGGAAAAGACATAGCATAAGCAGTATGCCCTCACTATTTGATGCAATGTAAACTGAAAGAGGAGAGATAAGTATACAGGCAGGACAATAGGGCAGAAAGGCTGACGGACAATTAGAGGATGCCTGAGAACTGCAACACCAAGGCCTCTGAAATGACAGAAAGAATGAATCTTTAAGCTGAGCGTTTTTAAAGGCAGTAACACAGAATAGCTGGCACAAGAGATGATCATAAAATGGCAGGTGATGCAGCTAGACAAGTGATCTGGGCAGTGGAAACAGAAATTGGAAGAAAAGAGTCATAAAGATCACACAGGAGATTGATGTCAGAAAATACTGTAACAGAGAGATGATGAAGACAACAGATCCACTACCACAGTGAGGGTGCTCTGCATTACACTGAAAAGTGGAAACCCTCTTTTTCAGAGTAATATAGGGACTTATGGCATATTCAAGCACAAATATATTTAATATTTATTCAAAGAAAAACACAACAGCTGTGGAGAAATCTGTGGAATTGAGTTATGGTTTTGTTACAAGAAGAAAATTATAGTTACAGTAGCAGTACGGTTGGGTATGAGGCAATGCCTGTGTATACATAGCCTCTGTCTACTTTTTCATTTCCTTTGTGATTCAGAAACTTCCCAACTTGACCATGCAAAGATGAGATGATGCACAGACTTGAGACAATGTTCTGACTTATGAAAAAGTGACTAAATTCCCACCTGTATCCACAACAAAGTACTGAACTTATTCTGTATCTGATCTGTACGGATACAAATTTCAGTCACTCAGGAGCTGGTTCCTTCAAGCAACCCTGCATACAGACCAGTTGATAGCCACTATTTCTATGTTTATATATGTTGATAACTACTCTGAATGGTGAAAATGGACAATACAGTCGGCCCCTCATAAATATTTCCTGCTGTATAGAATGGATTCAGTCGCACACAGGTAACGTAATTGTAGATGTTCTGTGAAAACTGTGCTTGCAGATGCAGAAAGGGTCACACAGAACAGTCTTTTGTAGTCAGTTAAAAGATGTTTAGTGTACATTTTAAAATAATCACTTTCAACTTATTGGCATGTATTGGAGAGCAACCTTAGGACCAGCTGAATTACAAGAACTCATTAGAACAACAGTTCTTAGTGACTCATCTAACACAGCTGAAGAAATTCCTGTATGGCTCAGGACTGGGGCCAGTTTTCTTTAATATCTTTATCAGTGATCTGGATGAATCAGTCCCCACTCACTAAGTTTGCAGATAACACAAACTTAGGGAAGAACACTGATCTGCTTGAGGGTAGGAAGGATCTGCAGAGGAATCTGACTAGGCTCCATGGAAGGGATGCATCCAGCTCTCTAAGTGAAAGCTAAATGCTGAGTGCGGCGCTTGCATAGTGGTGGTGTAGGTTTAGGGAAGTTTGGCTGGAATTTTGCCCAGCAGAAAATGACCTGGTAGTGCTAGTTGACAGCTGGCTGAACAGGAGCCAGCTGTGCAGCCAGCTGCCCAAGAAGGCCAGTGGTCTCCTGACCTGTATCAGAAAGCGTGTGGTCAGCAGGCCTTGAAAAGTGATTGTTCTTCTGTCCTCAGCCCTGTGATACAGAATGTATCTCAAGTACTGTGTCCTGCTCTGGGCTTCACACTACAAGTAGGATGTAGAGGTGCAGGAACCCATTCAGAGAAGAGCAATAGAACTATTAAAGGGACTGGAAAGCAACTATGAGCGGCAGCTGAGGGAACTGTAGTTGTCTGGTCTGGTGAAAAGAAGGGGAGACCTCGCCGCTCTCCACAGCTACCAGAAGGGAGGCTATAGCAAGGTGGGTGTTGGTCTTTCTCTCAAGTGAGAAGTGACAACATGAA